GAATTCAGCTAATGTCTCAGTCTCTACCCAAACATGGGAGAGAAAGAAATCAAACGTGGTGCCACAGACTAAGTGACTTAATGTGAAAATGTTTAGAAGGAAAGGCAGAGTTTTCTCAGATTGATTGTAATTCAGATTTTCTTAGTAGGAAAGCAAACTGTCCCAGAAAACTTTATAGTGGGGTAAAATGGACAGAAGAGAGAAAAAACGAAGTATTTCTTTGAACGAGAGCAGGAAAATAATCGAATAGCAGAGAAACCACAGTATTGCATATAATCATGCCATTGTGCAATCTTTTGGACCTCGGTAAAGAGAAGGCAAATATTTCCTTCCTTAAATATTTTCCATTTTTGGTGCTTGGATTCACAAAACATTCCTCCATCTGAAATGACACACAATATGCACAGTATTTTTTTTCTCAAATAGTCAGGGAGTTTTCACTCTCTTATTAGTTTTTATATGAAAAAGTTATTTTAAATCCCTTTATAAATTAGCACCCCTCCAGGAACAATAATTTTAAATATAGAAGTTAATAGGATGCATTATCGTCCAGATTTAGTAAAATGAAATTAAAATACTAAAGTGCAAAAAAAATTTTTTTTTACTTTTCGATTTTTACTTTTCACTTGGCAATGGGTATTGTCAGTGAAAAGACAAATATTAAATCAATTCCCACCCACCTAAAGCACAGATCCTGCCGTAGGGGCTTTGATTCTGGAAGCAGCTTTATTTGCATAAAGTAGTGATGGTGGGGGAGAGAGAGAATACGTTGAACAAGAACAACAGATCTTAGTTACAGTTCAAGTCAAAGATGAATCTATCTTCCCCTGCCCCTCTCTCCTGGCAACCACTCTCCTTTCCTTCCTCCACCTCTACCTCCTATCTCTGGCCCCTCACCCCCTTTCCCTCTCCCCTCCTCGCCCTGGCGCGCCAGCCGGTAAACTCTGGGCTTCCTGGCAGTTCTAGGCCCGGGTTGACCAGGGAGGCCCCGGTGGCTGCCCAGCTGGCTCACTGCTGCTTTGAAGTCTCAGAGCTTCGACCTGCCCTGGGTGCCAGAGAATTTCTGTTTCTGGCCTTTTGCCTCCCACCTACAGGTTGCACTCGCATCCCGAGTTATAAGTCGTCGATGACGCCCTTGAGTCACCCGCGGTGCCTTCCCACGTTGCTGGGCAGTGCGGCCTAGACGGTCTGCCTGTGCCCAGGCCGGGCCTTGTAGGCTGGGCACTATGAGGGGCTGGGCCGGGCCGCCCCGAGGCCGGGGGCCGGCTCCCGGGGCCAGGGCCACCCGGGGGTCAAGAGCTTCTGCAGCGGTAAGACTTGCATCCTCCCCGGTGGCGACCCTGGCGCAAGCCTCCTCCCGCCCAGCCTTCTGTGCCCAGGACAAATGGAGAGCGGCTCGAGCGTTGGCCCGGAGCGCGGAAGGGCCTAGCCCTGCCTCGCCTCCACCGCCCGGCGCTCCGGCGCGGCTCCAGCGCGTCCTTTATTGACAGGCAGATAAGAAGACCGGGGCCGTGGCGTTTCCAGCGTCCCTCTCGAGCACCCTGCGAGGTTGCAGGGATCCGCGCACGCTTAACGGCCTGGACTCCAAACAAGCCCGGAGCAGCCTTCCTGGCCGCCTCCCTTCCGGACAGAGGGGGCAGGTGGGGGGCCAGGCGTGGACACAGACTAGGGAGCAAGGGAGGCCTGGTCAGGCCCGGGGCCTACACGCAGCCCAATCTCCAAGGCAGACCGCGGAGCCGGGGGAGACCTCAGGACATCTGGAGCTCAGAGCTGGACCAGGTCCTGGAGGGCAGCTAGGACACTTGCCAAGAAACTAGGTCAGGGAAGAAGGTCGGTGGCGGTGGAGAAACCCGAGCAAACGCCTCTCTGAGCGTCACTCCCCAGTGGAGCCCACGTGGGGAGCCAGGATCACAGCAGTGCTCTGGCTTAGAAGAGAGTGGCCGGTGTGTGTGTGTGTGTGTGTGTGTGTGTGTGTAGGGATGGATGCTCCTTGCCCCTGACACTGGAAGACCAGGGGATTGGGTGGGGAGAGTTGCAGATTCCAGCACTGAGACCACCCAGAGGCTCCCATTCTCCTCCCCACCTCTACTCTGCCCTCAGGCCCTAGAAGGGTGGAGGAAAGAAAACAAGGAGAGGAGCGGGCAGGCGGGCTGCCTAGAGCCCTCTCCTGGAGGGCTTGGAAACCCCACAACTGTCCAGGTGTGCCAGGGTGGGAGCGAGAACTGCTCTATTTCTCGGCCATCGGTGCTTGCTCTCGCTGTGCCACCCCATTCAAGCCAGGTGAGCAGGAACTGGCCCTGGGGCCCTCCTCCCGCCTAGGCATTCCTCTCCTAGCCTTCACACATGGTGCGCAGGTCTAGGCCTCCCACGAGCTGCCTAAGGCAAGTCCATGCTCCCCACCCCCACTTCCCATTCCAACCCCTCGTCAAGTGTCCCCCACCCGTCCCAGCCCGATCTCTCTCACTTCCATGTTCTAGACCCGGTTGGGGGCAGAGAATGAAGGGATTGGACATTGAGAAGCCTCCTCCTCTGTTAGGGGTTGGGGAGTGAGACCAGGAATGACAACCTGGGTTTAAGTCCCCATCCCAAGTTAGCCAGTTCCAGCTCAACTAAGCCATCTCCCAGTCCACACTGGTTGTGACAGCAAAGCAAGTACACACCACCAGGTAATTATCCCCCCCCCCCCCCACCCCAGTTTCTGTGGCTACCTCAGCTCCCAGGAGGGGAATCCTGACTTCAGAATCTGGGGCTTTCCTATTTTCCTCCTCTAGGCCACAAAGTCAACAGTTAACCCCAAAGTCAAAGATTAATAAAATCACGACATTTTCTACGTGACTGGAGCCTTTCAGCTCAAGGAGGCCAGGGAAGCCCAAACAGGTACCTTTGGTGGCTCTCCATAGGAGAACCCAGCGGCCTGGCGAGGACTCTGGCCTAGCCCGGGTGAAGGGCTCGCTCGTCCTACCCCGGAGACCGTCTGTGCCCAGCTGGTGACTTGTAGGCCCCAGGGCGTGGTTAGGTAGCCACTGCTCCTTCAGCTCCTCCTGAAAACGATTCCTGCCAGAGGAACTTCTCAACCCCGTGCTACCTCCAGGTCCTCTGATGAAGTGACTCCCTCGGGGATCGGAGGAGGGGACCTGATGGTCACCCGGAAAAGTAGCTGGC